CAATCAAACAATCAAGTCTGTGTTAGAAATATTTTTTGAAACCAAAAAATAATTTAAAACTTTGAACTTCAGAACTTTTGAAGTTTTATTTTTCCAGTCTTGTAAGGCTAAAAGTGCTACATACAATCTGAAACACAGTACCATGTATATGATGAATTTCAGGTTTTAAAGTTCTGTTATCATTACTAAACAGTATTATAGTAAAGAAATAATTGCCTAAAAAACATCAAGACATAACTACTACTTATTTAAAAAGAATAAGCACAGCATTTCCAGTGGCCTACATTGTGTTGACTGCTGTGCTGATATTAATGTGTGTCTGAAGAGCTGAGCTCAGTAGTTGTTTGCTGATGTGTGTTTCTGTGCCTCTGTCAACCCGTCCTGGCTCTATGTGAAGTGACAGATGTATACCAAAAGACACCAGTCTGTACAGACCTAGTTTCCCACTGGCCTTAATGTGACCTCTAAGCTACGTTGTTTTGACTGGGGATAATTGGTCATAACAATAAAATAGTAACAAACGTACAACATCAAATGGTCAAGCTTTTCTCAAAGACTGGACAAAATGTTCCACTTTTAGTACTAAAAATGACCCAAATAAATTCTGTGGCTAGAAATGCAATGCTGTATCTTTATCAGACAAAATAGGCTCTTAGAAATTATAATTATATTGTGTATCAGAGGTGTTCAATATTTTTTAGGCCAGGGACCCCTTAGCTGATAAAAAGATAGAGCGGGGACCTCTTACTACATATACCGTATAGAATTGTGTTGCATATTAAACTGGGCCTACAATAACATGCAGGGTGGCCTATAGTGCCATAAACATACCTTGTTATTATGCATGCAATAATAAACTATTAAAATCATATTTATTGACAGATATTCATCTTTTCATATTATACACACATGTGGAATTTATCTTTATAAATAATGTTATAATAATATATATATATAATGTTGGATTTATGTTAATGTGTATTTTGAGAAACATAAAACATTATCAAACAATAATTTGGCACCCTTACTGAGGACCCTAGGGGGTTGCGGAGTCCCTCTTAAAGACCCAGGCTGTACACAACTTATTTGTTTGGTCAAATACGTATTGAGGGAAACAAAATCGCTACCTGGATTATGTTCACTGGCAACATTTATGTTTAGTGAATAAAGTGCTACGTTTTGGTACCCAACGTAAGTGGCAGGGATAGTGGACTGTGGCTGAACAAAGTGGATTTAGACACTAGGGGAAGTGATTCAGGATGAGTTTGCATCCTGAATTAGGTCTAGGCAATAAAGGCACTTTGGTTAAGGTTAGGGAAAGCTTTTGGTTCAATTTTAATAAATTACATTTGGCCTGCCTGCCATGCTTTAAGTCCACCATCTTTTCCTAACCTTGACCAAGTGCTTACACATAACCATAAAACATGTTAATCATGCTTTAGTTGCTACAAGCACATATTGTATTGAGTGTGCAAAGGCTTATAGGAAAACAAATGAAATACCTCGTCAGTGAAGGTTGTGCAGATACATTCAGTATGCACATTCTGCAACTTGGCAGATACTTTCATTAGAAACCTTTCCTCACTATAATGATAAAAAAATGATTGGAAGCATATTAATGTACTTTACATACCCATGTCATGAAACTATCAGAAGTGATAAAACGATAGATTTTGCCCTTACAATGACCCAATAAACTACAGACACACAATAACATCAGTCATTTGCTGTTTATTGTCAATTCATAGTTATATTTGAACGATATGTGTGATATGCTGATTGCAAACACCCCTCTTTGAATGATGATAATCTCAGTCCTCACAAGGGTTAATATCATGCCTTGGTTACTCCTGATCAAAATGAACAGTCAATTATGACAATACTGAGATGCATAGGCAGTTTGTATCTTTAATCCTCCAAACTCATTGCTTGGCATTAAGGTGCTAGAAGACTGTTTTCTGTGTTCGATCGGTTGCTATGATGATCTGAACCAGGGAAATAATTTAGAAAGAAACTAAATTCGGCTCCTACATCAATCATGTTTGAAGTGTGATTTAAGTCATACTAAAAATGCTTATGTTTTAATAAGTGAAGGTTCCTTTTCTCCATCAGCCTAAACTACAAGCTAAAAATACACATGCACACAGTGATACCAAGAGCCAATTGAGAAGCTTTGCTGTATATTTACACAGCTTATTAGTGTCCAATTGAGCATGTGTCAGATTTCCCCCCCTGGCGTAGCTGAGCAAAAACAACATTATGCCATTTCCCCGATTTTATCTCTTCATAACTGGAATATGTTGTTCCCATTCCATTTAGGTTTTAATAGACACTTGTGCAAGAGCACTTTAAAAGCTCAAGCACCACCGAAGTGAACTCTACAGCAGATTTTACACTCTACAGCGGTGGATTGTTTATATCTACTGTAGATGAGCGTGCAAATGTGTTCTCAAATTGGCAAATGGTAAAATGGAGTTTGTACAGTTGATACTATTCATAAGTGACCACTGTAAAGCTGCAGTTGTAATCTTCTAGAGATATATTCTACTAACAGGAAACACAAATATCAATATCTACACAAGCAACCATGAAAGGATAACCTAAACCGACAAAAATCAATTTAAATATTTAAGCAATCAAGCATTTAAATCAGATCAAGTGTTGAAATGAAATGTGACTCCCATAACTATTATCAGGAAAGACTGACAGGCTGCAATCTATCAGGGAGCATTGCCAGGGTCACCTGTACAGAGTGCAGTGTTGCTAAAGCCCAAAGCCCACACTGCAGCAACACTCATTACCCAGGTCTCCATAGAGACAACCTCAGCCTGCTCTGGACCAGAGCCCTAAAAGCCTTTATTTCAGGAAGCTACATATCTCTCTCTGTCCAGAAGAGGTGCAAAATGCACGATTCTCATGGAAGCGGCTCATTAAGAATAATCTTTGCAGGTCTGTTCAGGGAAAACAAATGTGCAGCATAAAGAATACCACCTAAGAGCAACAATCACAGCCCTTTTATTTTGCCTATGGTCAATTTAGCATGGTACAGAAAGAACCAAAATACAAAGAAAGGATTGTCATAATACACTCGAGTAATTCTAATTTCTGCCACAAAAACAACGTTTGAATCTCTGAATCAATAGAAAAGGTCAGTGTCATGTGAACCGAGTCTGTCGATATGAATGGCACTGCATCAGCAAGCGACCACAAATGTAGCATTCATCACAATTACAAGTGCTGTTGCTGCCATTCAAAGTTTCCATGTAGATGTCTCAGCAGCCATTTTGCAACGCTGTTGCCTGGACCAAAGAGACTGAAAAAGCCATTCAAAACCAAAGCAATATATTGTGCTCAGCAAACAGAGATTTAAGCACAGCATTGAGTGAAATCTGAAATGGACATGGAATCAGTATTTTCTGTTTCTTGAAATTGTCTTGCCTCAGGAACAGAAAGGAGTCTTTGCTATACCACCATCACTGCTTTTACTCTATTCTCTCCTATAAATAACCACTGCCTTCATTGAACCCTTCAGCATGGCCACAAAATGGTTTTCCTGTCATCTTTGCTTGACGCATCGCCCTCTACTCTCAGTTAACATTGTGTCCACTTTTGATTTTTTTTAACCCCTTTCCCTCCGTCTACCTTTCAAAAGATCTTCTAAATACCCCAATTTTCTTTCGAGCTGATTTCTGCCCCCCAACAAACGCACATCCCACCCCCTACCCCACAGCCCCTTGTCCTCCTCATAGCCCCCCCCTTCTTCACACACCCTTCTTGTATTCGCTGTAAAAATCAGTCACCTTTAGTCCAAAATCAAACACAATTGGCACTTATTAAACCTATCTTTTGAGGAATTCACTGAGAACAAAATAGGATCTGGATGCATTTTGCAAGACGTGCACTTGGGCAAGGGTGATAAGGGCTTGTCTCTTTTTTTCCCAATCCAAAATGACTCCATGTCTGTGCTTCTAATATGGCGGGTGCAATGCCAGAAAAAAAGAACAGCCAACCTATTTAATCCTTTTTCTGGAAGACACTCGATAGATCCAACAGACAGCATATGAACATGAATTCATATGTGCAAGTTATGTAATTTAATACTTAAAATAATAAAACATTTACTTATATTATAACATGCAAGTAAATATACTACATTTTTTATCAACACACGTTTTGGTTTAGGAGGGATTTATGAATTAAAAAAATATATTTAAATGTCTATATAAGAAATTATTTTAGTTTCATTAAGTGAATAATTGTTCTGTTTGAATGAAATGTTCAGGCAGGTTTAAGATTTAAAAAAAACAAATGGTGAATACACCAGGTAAACATGTAAATGTGTTGCAACAAAATTATTTCATAAAAGACCATTTTTCATAAGTTATCTGTGTGAAAAAGTGATTGAACACTGTTAATATGCACATTAAGCATCTAAAAATGATGTAGGAAAATGCACTCAGACTGAGGCCCAATGCAGTTTGATGAATGACAATAAATAATCGGTAATGGTACAAACTGAGAATGAAAGAACATATTTGTGATAATTTATTTTAGGCCTAGAATTTCCTAAAAATTCATTGTACTAAAACAAAAAACTAAAACATAAAAAATGCCTTGTTCCTCATGCAGTACAAGCTGCACCTATCACTCAACCTACATTTCTCCCCCTCTCTCCCTCTCTGTCTCTCCACCTCTTTCTATTTGACAAAAAGGGTCATCTTAAATGTTGACAATCCATGAGTGGTTAAATGTTCCTACACATAAACTCCATTATGGTTAATGTGGATGTTACTATCAAACCTCCTACAAATCCCACTGCCTGTGTCAGGACATAGCAACAGCCTGTTCTAACGTTCAATTTTTCAGAGCAAAAAAAAAAGGAGTAAATATCTTCAATGTGGAAATGCTTTCAGATTATTTGGGATAGTATTTGCATACTTAGCCACGGTGGGATAATTAACATAAACTTGAAGTTTAACGTGCACAAATGCATCACCTACCATTCAAGATGCACTGGGAAAAGATGAGAGCCAATATCCACATGCCCCGCTCCGTTCAATATCCAAGCTTATGCTTTTTCTTCTTCTCTCCCCGCACTCTTTCTTCTTGTTATTTCTTCCTTTTATTTCTCCAACAAGTCAATTGCAATGAAAGAAAGGGGAGCTTGCAAATCTCTCTCTCTCTCTCTCTCTCTCTCTCTCTCTCTCTCTCTCTCTCCCTCTCTTTCTCTATCTTTCTCTCTCTTTCTCTCAATCCTTCACGTTGGGAAGAAGATGAAGAGGAGGAGGTTTGAGCTTCTTCCTGCTGCTGATTGTCTCCTGGTACGGCGGGAGATAGTGTATGATCCACAACTGTGCGTCTCCCGTTTTTTGGACTGACCGCACCGCACCGCGCCGGGCCTCAGTGCAGCCGTCCCCCCGTGTCGGAGCGCTGCTCTGCGTGGAACATGAGGGAGCTCGGCTCGGTGCGCTCCGGTCCAGGTGAGCTGTGCCGCCGCTGCTGCTGCTGCTGAGTCAGAGGCTGGAGACGCATAAGACAAACTGCCTATGCGCACGACCAACTCCACGGTTAAGCAATTAAAACAAAAAAACAAAAACAAAAGCCTCCAAAATAGGAATAAAGAAAAAGAAGCAATAAATAATAAATAAATAAATTTGAAGTCTATGCACTGAAAACAGCCAAACGTGTCTTCTCAAGTATATGAAAAAAATGCGTAAAAGTTGGATTTTTTTCGAGGATTAAAGAGCGCATGGAGTTGATTGTTAGCTGCGCTGAAAACTCATTCTCTCTTCGCCGCCTCTCTCCGTCCGGCGAGCAACAAGCACACGCATCTTCCCCCCGCAGCCGCACACACAAACTGCGCACACTAGTCCCTGCGCTTAAAACCTGCCCTGCCTCAGAGCACTGTGGAATAAACCCTCGCCTCCTTCTCCGCAGCCGCTGTTCTCCCTCTCCATTGCCTTAAAGGTGCAGGGGTGGGGTGGGGGGTGAGGGGCGCACAGCTGAACCTCTGAAGGAGCGTTAAAAAAAAAAACTCTTTTGTTTTATCACAGAGAAGACGGATCACGGTGTTCCACTCACAAAAGCAAAACTGCACATTAACATAAGCAAGAGAGAATTAGCCCATGCAGGACACCCTTCTATGGTTTGCCAGCGTAGCAGGCTGGAGGATGGATGCTGAGGGAGGGAGGGAAGGAGGGAGGGAGAGGGAGTGATGTAGGCTACACCTGACTGGATACTATGTAGGCATTTGGTGAGGGAACGAAATGCTAAATTATCTTAATTGGAGGAGATCAGATCCTGTCTTTTAATGTGTTTTCTGGATAATTTATGAGCCCCAGGGGCATTTTGGGGATCCTGCCAGCCTGCATTTATTAATTGACCTTGACAAATATAAGCAGCAACCCCCCCAATGCACCAGGGGGCATCAAACGGCGGCCATGTCAGGCATCCACAGCCCCCTGCATGAGTTCACCCCCATTCAAGCCACACAGGAGGAGGATGTTGTGGATTACTGTGTGCATTACATTCCATGCTGAAGACTTCGTAGTATAAATATATTTTATGATAAGGTGTGACCCCCATATAAATACATAACAATGAACAATTAACCTGAAAATGACAACCTCATTACATTTTAATGATTATTTTGCCTATCTGAAGAGACATAAGGGGAACAGACAGAAGTTAAATGTTTCCTTTTGAGTCTTTAGTGAGCAAACATCCATGTTGTGTTTTTCAGGCATGGTGTTGTGATAAGAAAGTCACATTTGCATTATATGTTGAATGTGAAATGATTTCGAAGGCACTGACATAATGGTAACTGCAGTGACATCCGCTGCCATGTGACTGTTTGAATTTAGTGTGGCCCATTTATGTTCAAATACTGTAGCAGGCGAGCCAGGCTTTAGCCCTTCGCCCAGATACAGTGTCTGTCTCTTAGACTTAGCATCCACATCAGACCTGCACATGAACATGCTCTGCACCAGGAATACAGGACCTGTCACCGCCTGTCTGGCCGCCACATGTGCTTCCAGCCAGGCATCCCCAAAATAAAACAGATCATTATCACTGACTCCAACCATCCGAACCAAGATGGCAGAGAGGAAAACATGCGCTATTCCTCACACATTGAATACAAAGTATTTTGTTGTTTGTGTTGAATTTGCCTAATCCCCCTCCCTGTCAGCCTCATTGGCACCCAGCAGTGAGGGGGTTTGTTGTTCTTCCAGTTTTGGTGTTGTGTTTGTTCTAATGTGCACGCCTCCTCTTCCTCTATTTGCCACTGTACAGCACTGGTCTACAGCCTGGCACTGTCAACACCCCACTACCCTTTTAAAATGGATTATTATTAGAAACCATACTGTACAACATATTTTGCTCCAGTTACAGGCAGCTATAGTACCTACAGAAACTGCCTGCAAATATCAGGGAACTCATTAGATAAACTGGCTTACACATCAACACCTACTGATATTTAACGAAACACTTTGGCCTTTCATTCCTGATATGTTTGTGCTCTTAGATTGCTACATTTTGCCTTTATCTCATGTATTTTTTGTCAGAAAATGCAAGTCGTGGTCATCCATAGTTATCAGATTTGCTTAAAAACTTGGATTTCATACAAAACAACAGCAGAAACTCAGACAGACATATCTAATAGCTACTGCGTGAGCAAATGTATGAGAATGAGCAAAATCCATCAACCTGAATGTAACCTATTTACAGCATACACATAGTTGCTGTTTTGTGCTGTTAACAAAATACACACACAAAGCCAAGAGTACCAATTAACTTGGAACTGACCCATTTCCTCACCAGTCTCAATTTGATGCCTTTTTTTGTCTTGCTATGTCAAATCATTCAGCCATATGGTAAATGACTGTATTCAGTGTTTATCCCAGTGGACTGTTTAGGTACAGAGATTGGATTAAAATCTCTGGCTGCATGATCATAAAGAACTCAATCCCTATTTCTTTAATCCTCACTTTAACTCCATGATATGTTGTGAGGTTATGATCAAGTCAAAAGGTATTATCCTCTTTAAACCCTTCTGTTATTTAAATGTTAAACCTTTTCAGACATATCTGGGAACTCTCTCTTTGCGCTGATAAAGGGGTGTACTGTGCTGTAAATCTGAGACAAAAGTTGAATGGATTTTTAAACTGCTGCATGGTAAAAAAAAAAAAACAACAAAAAAAAAGGTAGAAAAACTTTGTAGAATATTTTCAACCTCATCAAAATGTAACAAACATTAGTTTCATAAGAAATGAAAACCTCTCTCTGTAAAAACAGTACAGTATGACGGTAAAATGAATGTGCTTATACTGGATTTATGCAGGTGTTGTTATGCAGTTATGTTGCTCCATACTGCAGTTTACTAAGAATATGGTAAACGGCAAATGGACCTGTACTTGTATAGCGCCTTTCTAGTCTTCAGTAGAATACAGTATGCATACAGTACGCATCATGTTTTATCACCTGAAATCAAACGAGACTAAGGCTGTATTCAAACCCACTATAGCAGTACATACAGATTTGGCCACAATGAAGCATGCAGTATGCAAGAATGCAAAAAAAAAGCATAATCTGCAGTATGCCAAAAATACCTAGATGATGAGCTGTACTAATAAGGAAAGTATTTCCAGTTTGTATTTGATCAGTCTACCTCATCCTCTGTGTCCCACAATGCAAAGCATTGGTCTTCTTGGTCATTGGTTTTTAGAGGCGATCTGCATCCAAAATGTTGCAACAACTCTTCATTTTGACTATAGGCTACACATGTCAGATAGGTGTTAACCATCGCTCACAAAATCATATAAATCCACATTTATAAGAACAAAGTAGTGGTGGTTTGCCATTAGCTGTGCTATCATTTACTCTCGCTTTCCAAAACCGAAAACTGGCTAAGCTTGGCCTACCGCAAATGTATGGTATGATCTTACTAAAATGCATAATATACAACTTAAAATTAAAAAATGTACTTAAAGACACTAGATGAAAAGATAAGACATAAATGAAATTATTACAATTCATCCCGTCAGAACCAAATATCTCATAGTTGTCAAGACAATTCACTTAAAACGGTGGCAAGAGGAATGGTGCTAGAGGAAACGACATGGGATCACCAAAGTCAGGGGACCATGAATGTCTGTACCAAATTTCACACCAATCTATGCAAAAATGTAGAATAGTGGTTGTAAAAAGCAAAGGGAGAAAATTTACTAGAGGTCAGTATTACTGTGAGTATAATGTGAGTACAATAGGAAGTCTGTACTCATTATTAAACAGAGAGATCAGAGCAAGGCTTATAAATACCCCACACAGCGCATATTGTGACAAACACAGGTCGTGAGTATCCAGGCTCAACCAAAAACACAACAGCTTATTTCCACTGGTAACTACGGTACAGTGTAAAGAGAACAGAGACACAAGAGTTTATATTATATTATACATTTCAGATTTTCAAAATGATGTTCAGTTAAGCTTATTTGTATATTAACGTTGTTGTTCTCTTACTTCCAGTAGCAGCTCATTTACAATATAAGGTATGTGTATGTATGTATTTAACAAGAGGCCAGTGTACAGGGGGGAATAATAATATCCATTCATCTTAACTACAAAGAGCCAGATCCCCCAAGGGAAACTTTTATAGCTCTTATTAACAAAATACTCTCAAGTACTTTGATTATATTCAAACAATAAAATGTATATCTGATAATGTCTTATAAATGACAAATGACGGCAGGTTCATCTCAATCTGCGACTTATAAGAATAAGGGAGCTTTGTCGCCTGGGTCAGACTGCTGAATAATTCACACCACGTTATGAGGTAGAAATGGAAGAACAGTAGTCTAACGTACATCCTGAGACCCTCATTTTATTAGATCATCTTTGAATCCTTCTCTCTGCCCATAAATTCTGAACGGAACGTGAGACAAAGTCACAATTCAAGTTTAATGAGTCGACATGTCTCCAGAATAAAGAAATGGAGAAATCGTGTTCCCTTTGAGAGTAATTCCTTGCCATTAGAGGGTGGAAAGTGCTGTGTCTGCTTGAAAATAAGCTATGTGCCATAAGCTTTCCACTGCAGTTTTTGTGTGACAAAAAAATCATAGTCTGCTCTAAAAAGCCATAGCAAGAATTTAAAAGACAATTCAGCCTTGGTTAGATACTCTTAGACTGTTGTTCCTCCAATCAAGACCATATCTGCAGCTTGTTCCCAAACATCTTGTGCTGCATTATATTCTACTGAGGTTACTGCTAATGGAGAACTTGGTATTTCTGCTCTGTGTTGCGTTTCTACAGGATGAGACAGTATGATGCATCTGTTGCAGCAAAATGGGCTGCAAAGTGTGTGGAGAAACTACAGCGGCTGTGAAGCTAGCAAAAAACATGAAGGGCACTATCTACAATGACTGTTTTGTTTGTCCATACTGGGCTACTGTAGAAACATGGTGGACTTAACGAAAGGCAACCCTGTATAAAAACGGTTCATTCTAAGGTAACAAAAACACAACAATCCTTATTTTCAGATGATTCTACACTAATAAAAACATTCAGTTTAAATCAATAGCATCAAACTACAAAATAAACCTAAAACTATATGTTTTCAGTATTTCTTCTTTGTGTCCAGAGAAGCATATATTCAAATATATATTCATAAACCACTTGACTCTGCTATAGATGCAAGGACTTCAACCTATTCTCCTTATTGGTCAGCTGCAGTAGTCCTAATATGTATAATAGTTCTTTTGAGGAACAGAGGACTAACTAAATGCCTGATAGAGCCCTAGTTAACAAGGCTGAAAAAAACTAATTTTCCCTTATTGGCTTCTATAATCACCCAGCCTCATAAGGTAGCGACCAAGTGAGTGGACAGAGCTGAGCTCCTTGATGGCCCACCTTAGCAGATCTATATATCGATTCCCCTCATTGACTAATTTGCATCTCACGGCTCAATGCACTCCCGTCCAGTCCTGATTGAGTGGACAGCAGGGTCATCCAGAGGTAATTCTAGGATTTTAGGGCTATTGATTTTAAGTAGCTGAATTCACAACTCAACTGTTCTGAGTTGATTATTTAGAATGTTATCCCAATTTTTACACACAGGATACATTCAGTTTCTATCTCTGGAG